GAAAGCTTAGCCCACTACAAACTAATCTCCCACTCGATAAGATATTATAACTCGACGGTTAAACCGTTCTGAGCCGAAAGCTTATTTTTTTCAAGGCAGTAACCAACCTGGTTCTCCGGGTGGTCCGGGATCTCCCGGAATGGCGTTTGTACTCTGAGCAGGTCGTCCAGGTTCTCCCTTCTCTCCGTCTGATCCAGGTGTTCCGGGTTGTCCGGATGGTCCATTTGGTCCAGGCGCTCCAGGAGGTCCTGGATTACCAGGTCGACCAGGACTTCCGGCTCTTCCTGGGCTGCCAGGAGGTCCGTTTGGTCCTGGTGGTCCAGGTGGTCCTGGTGGACATGGGTTACATGGAGGAATGTCAAGCTCTTCACATACAATTGGTGGTCGTCCAGGTGCACCTGGTCGGCCTGGTGCTCCAGGAATTCCGGGCTTTCCGTTTCTGCCTGGCAAACCAGGGCGTCCAGGATGTCCAGGTTTGCAGCATGCTGAAAATAGGCGCAATTCAGATTTCTCAATGGTACTGGCGATTTTTAGGTGCTGAGTTATTTACTTACAGGCACATGAGCCAGCCTGCCTCTTCGCTCTCGCATTGGTAGCGTTCGCCGCAAATGACGCAAACGAAGCGGGCTTCTTGTGACTGATCTCCGTCATGATGTCTCTTGCCGACGACTGAAACTGCCCAGTTTAGGTCGTTAAGCTGATACTGATCTCTGCTACGAACTTAATTATGCCATTAGTGCGCACAGGCGAAGTCGTTCTTAAAAGCGCACATTTGAAAGTTCGCCCTCCCCCCGGTTTTTTAGGGACAGCAAAGGGTAAAGTTCCATTTAGCCGTTAGCATCCATTACTAGCACGACATTGGGGAAACCAGCCAGATGGCATTCGTTAGGACCGGCTTTTGGAAACGACTCTAAGGTGTCTAGTGGCAGCGTCGTCGCCCACCGATGAAACGAGAAATGCCTGAATGGTCCAAGTTTTGGCCGGCTTCCCCCGTCAATCTTCGTCTTCAACGCGCGGGGGGTTCCACTGTCGTAACCGAGTGACTAGTGACGACGATGACGGCCACGGCCAGCAATTGAAGAGGACTAGCTCCTCCAGAGTGGGGAAGGAAGAGGTGTCACTTAGGAAACAGTTCACATTACCTTGCAAAACTGGAGATCGCGTTTCGTTTGTTGTTGTACGTGATCTACGAAGTTGTATACTATAGGCATGGTGATACAAACTGAGAGAATAGCGACGAGAGAGAATGTGACCGCTGAATAGGCCACCGCCTTGTATGCCCTCTCCCGAGGGTCCTCCATTACACCTGAATTCAGGTCAATTATTCACATGTGAAAAAATCGGCACACAAGTAGACAAAGAATAGGCAAAATAGGCTAAGAGAGAAAAGGAAGTCGTCATAAAGCCCAAAAGGCAAGCGAATGAATGCGTAGTGGGCAAGACCGGCGCCAACGAGCGCGGCATTGATGTGAATGAAGCTGGGCAGGAGTTAAGTAAGCAGTATATTAGATTGAAGTTGTGGAATGTGGAATCGTCGGGTGTGGGGGGTGGGGGAGATGACGAGTGGTGGTAGTAAGCAAGGAGAGTGGGTGGGCGTTAGGTGGAGGGACCGGACTGGGCTTTATACGCCGCGAAGACGGTCACCGACGCGGAACGCTGCACGCACTAAGAAAGCACTAGGCGCCCGAGTTCAAAAACATCTCGCGCAACACAACCTCGCCATTCAACGGTGCGGTAGTGAGTGAAGCCGTTTACCTGCCATTGCCATTAGCCGACAATTAGCCAGGTGGCATCTAAGGCTCTTAAACAGTCCACTCCATGGCACACGCCGGCTGTGTGTGGAAATGCGCTGACGTCGCGCAGCCCCGACGTGATCCACTGAGAGTGCGCTGATTCGCACGTAAATCAACGCATTCCTTCGGCTCGATATCCATAAAAAGAGTTCTCAAAGAAGACATGAAAACCACTCATCCCTCATGAGGTGATCAATTATCGATGGAAAGGCATAGCCTAAACGCAGAGCCCTTCTAATGACAGCGTTGAGTGACTGAGGCAAGAGGGGCGAGCGGGGTCATCCCAAAGACTTGATCGGTATCTGCGGTGGCTGCGAGTTACGAGTGGTTTCGTTGGTTACAATTTTACCTGTGCGAGCCACCTTCTCTACCAATCAGTCCGACGAGTGTGCAGATTTTCATAAACTGGTAATCTCGAGTTCTTACGAATTTTTAGCATTCGGCGTATTTTTGCGATATTTCTCGTTGTTTTGAAACCCCCTGAGTGTATACCTTTGTATTTTTTAGATCCTCTTTGTCTTTAGTCTTTAAAAGTTCACACTGTCAATGGATAATGTTTTTGAATCTTATTATTCACTTGTTTATTTATTTATTTAAGTATTCAGTTATTTGATTATTTAGGTATTGATTATTTATTCCTTTACTGATCCACCAAAAGATGTGCCCACAAAGGGAAATTAAGAAAATACAATATATCTTGAAATGGAGTAGATTTTCATGCACGTATCAATTCTATAATGCTGACCGGATACCATCGGTAGCTCCTTTTATTACATTCAGGGGTAAGCCTGCATTTTAGCATTCAGATTCATGACTCGCAGCTTCAGTGCTACTGAAGTGATTAGAAGTCTGTCTAAAGCATGAGCATGGTACATGTGTAGTGGAGGGCGGTGTGCCGTGAGCTAGTGCTCACGTTAAAAGCTTCAAATTGTAATCTCTCTCTGAACTACTACTGTTCACTTCGAAAGGTGAAAGGTGCACGTCAATGCAACTGAGTTTTCGCAGGACTTTTCTTGGAAAGCCACGAGACTGCTGCTACCGCTTGCATACGAAGAGCGAAGAGGAAGGAGGCTCTAAAATTTATTTCAGAAGAATTGGGGATCGAGAGGAATTTCTGCTCTCTACGTAGTGCAAGCACGTTAAAAGCAGTTGAACAAGATTCAACATTGATAGCAGATCTAGCTCTATCAGTGGCTGCAATGCCAATCGAGGCAAGTCAACAATCAGCCTTGTTATTTGCCACCCGAAAATCTACCAGGAAGGTCTTTCAGGGCGTGACAAGCTTTTTGAAAACGGTCTTTTGCATGATATAGGGGCAGATGCGGGAACCACAGAACCATGTTCAATTTTTCCTGAACGGCCCTCTGAATACCAGAAAAGGAGGTCCCTAGTTCGATTCCTCGTGGTAACAAATTTTTGCATTTCGAGTTGACGTGCCAAAATTCGCGCAAAATGGAGTTAGAACCAACCAGAACAATCAGAACTCCATTTTGCGCGAATTTTGGAACGTCAACTCGAAATGCAAAAATTTGTCACCAAGAGGAATCGAACTAGGGACCCCCTTTTCTGGTATTCAGAGGGCCGTTCAGGAAAAATTAAACATGGTCTGTGGTTCCCGCATCTGCCCCTATATCATGCAAAAGACCGTTTTCAAAAAGCTTCGTCACGCCGAACAGCGCGCCCGAAAGACATCACTCCTTCCCTGGTGAATGAAAAAACACATTATGTCACACTTGGATGATAATGGAATCATTCCAGTCAATCAGCATGGATTTGTTCCAGGACGGTCTGTGGAAACCAACCTCTTAGAATGTATCAATGATTGGAGTGACTACCTTGACCACAAGAAATCATGTGACATAATTTACTTTGATTTTTCCAAGGCATTTGATAAGGTCGATCATTTAAGCTTGTAAGCAAGTTGATTCAACTCAAGATTCACCCTATGATATGTCGTTGGATCGAGCAATACCTTTCTGGGAGAACATTTCAAGTTCGTATTGGGTCTGTTTTTCGGATTTGAGAGATGTTACAAGTGGAGTTCCTCAAGGTGGGGTTCTTTCCCCGATTCTCTTCACAATATACACGGCCGAGCTTCCTAAGAAGCTTGAAGATTGTGGAGTTGTGTGTAAACAGTTCGCAGATGATATCAAAATTTATAGGATGATAGAAAGTGAGGATGATGTAAGAATGATCCAAAATGCTTTAAGTGTTATTTCTGAATGGTCTAAACAATGGAATTTATTAGCACCCTGAAAAATAACGTGTACATGAGGTTGGGATCTTCGAATCTGATAGGGTCCTATAGACTTGGCAATCATGTTCTCGAGAGTGTCCCGTCTGTTAAGGACCTTGGTTTTCACTACGACAATAAGCTGTCCTTTTCCCAACATTTGGATATGCTCTATAAGAAAGCTACTTATAGAACATACCAGATTTTCAAAGGGCTTTCGACTAATGATAAAGATCTCCTTGTTCAAGCTTATAAAACGTACATTAGGCCCATTGCGGAGTGTGGGACATCGGTCTTTTGTCCTTATAAGAAGAAGGATATTCAATTAGTTGAAAAAATCCAAAATAATTTCACCCGGAAAATGTTTATCAGATCAGGGGAATTCGATTATTCTAGACTACTTCATGTGTCTCGCAGGAATCGAGATTACCATTTACATTCGCTTTGCTCTCGTAGGAAATATTTTGATGTCTGCATGGTCTTTAAATTGTTGTCGGGTATTGCCAAAATTGATGCTTCCAAATTCTTTGGTCTGGTCAACTCTAGAACTAGAGGGTGGTCAGTAAAAATATCCTATGCCACTCCTAAAACGAATCTAAAACGTTATAGCTTTGCTTGTCGTGCAGGATCTGAATTCACTTCTCTTAAAACTACAGTAGTGATATCGCCTCTAACCTTCCGACTTTTCAAGCGTATAAGTAAGAAGCAATTGTTGAGCTTTAGTGAGCTTTAACATTTACTATCGTTAACTACGGTCGTGAGTTGTATGATTTCATATATCTTGCGTTTGCCTTATGCACAACGTTATAAATAAATAAATAAATAAATATAAATAAATAAATAAATAAATCAAATAATTGCTTCCGGAAGCAAACTAAAAAATCGTTGCCGTGTCTACGGCGATAATATTGCCAGGATTGTAAGATTTCATGGCGGCCCTCCTTCCCTACGTGCAAATACGTAAACCTATATGGCTTATTTTCATCGCAGTGTTCCACTTTTATCGGGTCCTATTTTTGCCCACTCTCCTCATAAGTACCTAGGACTGTAAATAAAAGAGATAGAATCATGAAGTTCACTAAGCGAGGCATGACATTATACCAAGCGTAAATTAAGCATAAATTTTCGCGAAATTTTCTGAAATAATCATAATTTCATAGAAACAAATTTCCGAAAAATGCTTATGAACTTTTTGCAACGACCATAGCATCCTTACCAAACACTAATTTGTATCCCTAAAATTATGATCCCTAGCGAGAAATATTCGACGATCTTCACATGATGACGCCTTCTACAACTTCCTTTTTCCGTCGGGTGAGTAGTCTTGTGAAGGAAAGGGAGAAAAGAAAGCATGATGGTGTTGGAAATGAGCCTTGTGATAAATGTTAAGAAATGTTTATTTGGGAGAAACAGCTAAAATAGGTGACGGGAAAAAATCGACAGCATATTTGTTGTAACGTAAGAAGTTTTCCAAATGACTCATGAGACACTGACAAGGTTGCAATATCGTACGACGGGGCCACCAGGGAAAGGGTCTGTAACACGATATCGAGATTGAAATGTTATGAACAAACAGTAGGAAAGAGAGGAGATAGCACGATGGCTGCAGCACTTGCCGTCTACATGAAGAGGGATCCAATCCCGGTTCGAGTGAGACTGAGCCCGAATAAGCCTAGTATCACCCCAGGGTCAGACACGGCATCAGTTTTGTATGGTACGACCAAAACCAAGATGTTTGCACGTCACTAGCAAAATTCATTTTATTAGAAACTGCAACGATCATGATGGTCTTCGGGCAAGACCGTAAACGATAACATGAGGTATTATTCAGGCAACATTGTCGTTAGGTGAAGACTTGTTTGACCTTGAAGTTTAATGGGGTTGTGAAGCCTTCGGTCAGGTAGCCAAAATGCTCCTATTCCTCCAGGCGCTGGACGAGACAATCTCTGACACTTAAGCCTATAAAGGTTGCTATTATCTTGTGAAAACTCCAGAGAAAAAACTGCGACTCCGTTAGTTTCAAAGCTTACTCACAATCGAGTGCTACTATGACGCTGAACGGAAGCGTATGCGTGGCGTACTCACGACAGAGGCTGATGAGACGTCCTTATACCTTTTACCGCATAGGTAGGCTCCTCAGTAATCAGTTACAAGACCGCGAACTTTTCCTGGCTACCCGTGTTGATTTGAGAATTTTGCGACGAACTAGCCTTCCGTTGAATCCTTCTCCAGACGGATAGCGCACATCACATCGAGGTAATAACAGCTAGGAAGG